AAATGTAACTAAGCTAGTGTTGATAAACGTGTAACTAAGAGGCAGACAAATATGTAAGCAACATATAACCAAACATGTAATAAAGTTTATACAAACATATAACTAAGCCACATGTAGACAGACATGCAACTAAGCCACATGTAGACAGACATGCAACTAAGCCACATGTAGACAGACATGCAACTAAGCCACATGTAGACAGACATGCAACTAAGCCACATGTAGACAGACATGCAACTAAGCCACATGTAGACAGACATGCAACTAAGCCACATGTAGACAGACATGCAACTAAGCCACATGTAGACAGACATGCAACTAAGCCACATGTAGAGGAAGGTGCGTATGAGCGTCACAGGTGTAGGTAACTCAGGCATGTCCCAGGTGGCTGCTGACTGGCAAGTGGTGATGGTTCCTGGTAGCCTAACGAGACCCAACTACTGCCCTTCCTGCACACACACACACACACACACACACACACACACACACACACACACACACACAACAGGCTCCAGGAATATCAAATTGCCTAAGTATTGGGAACCAGGTTGAGGACTATAAGTTGTGTCCTAGGTTACATAAAGGTATTGTGAAGTTTAAAAGTAAATAAGATACAAGAAATAAGTGAAAGCGAGTGAAAATTCTATGTTGGAAAAGTTTATATTCCGTAACCAAAGATCGCCAATAACAAAGATGGCCGTCACCACAGGGAAGGTTCCATTCACCTGGGTTCTGGGAGACTCGAACCGGGGACCCCACGCGTGTGAGGCCGAAGCTCACAGGGTACTAACACTTTCACAGGGAAGGTAAACAAACCAACAGATGATTGTTTCAAAGGATTCTTGCCACAAGATATAATGAAAGGAGGTTTCCTTTGCAGGCTAGAGATTATAGAGGACATACTAAAGAAGTATGAAGAAAAAGTACTTGAATTAGAAGAAAATGGAGCTCTCAGGGATGAGTTTCGCACTTTAAAAGGAAGTATTCTTCAGCAAGGTAAGGACATTACTGCCTGAACGGACAAGATAAAGACACAGGAAGAACACACCAAGAAACTAGTGAAAGAAAATGAGGTATGGAAAGTGAAGAATGGTGAATTTGAGGAAATTTACATGAAAAATAGACATATGGTGAACAACTTCTAAGAGATTGAGACGATCAAGGAAGTATGATCGGAAGTCAAAACCAGAAATGACCAACAAGAAGCAGAAGTTATGCAAGCAATTAGGAAAGAACTGGTTACCAACAGTGAATCAGTACAAAACACTGCAGATAGAAGTCCATAATAATTTTCGGGTGTTTAGAAAAGGAAATATCATCTAGGGTGGACACAAC